TTACATGCACGCCACTGCCACCCACCATCCGTGGCAGCAGGTTACGGTAGACTTCATGGGGCCCCTACCGCGATCAAAAAGGGGCAACACGTGGCTCCTGAATATGCAGGACCGTTTCTCTAAATGGGTGGAACTAAGACCCCTCCGCCGCGCCACCGCCCCCGCCGTAACTCAAGCGATAGCGGAGGACGTGATCCTTCGCCACGGGTGCCCGGAATCGGTAATATCCGACAACGGCACGCAGTTTAAATCCACGCACCTCGCGAAGCTCCTCCAAAATTTCAACATCGAACATAGGCTTACACCGGCGTATACACCGCAATGCAATCCGGTCGAACGTACCTATCGCACAGTAAAAACTATGTTAGCGCAATACGTTGAACGGAACCACAAAACGTGGGACGAGAAACTACACGAATTGCGGTTCGCATATAATACGGCCCGTCACGACGCCACCGGATACACGCCGGCGTACCTTAATCACGGCCGGGAACTCCTCTCGCCAGCGAACTCACAGAACGCCCGACGCGGCCCCGCACCCCCACCAGACACCACCCGCCGACACCTCGAGGAAGCATACGAATTCGTGCGGATGAACCTCGCGAGAGCCTTCCAGAGGCAAGAAAAATACTATAACCTGCGCCGCCGAGCTTGGCGACCCGCAATCGGCGAAAAGGTGTAAAAGCGTGAACATCTGCTATCTAGCAAGAGTAACGCCTTTAACGCCAAGCTCGCGCCGAGATTTAAAGGTCCCCTCGAGGTACGGCGCGTGGTGTCACCAGTCATCGTAGACTTGCGAGACGGCAGCGGCCGCTGGTATCGACATGTTCACGTTAAGGATTTAAAGCCCGCCCCTCCGACCCCCCAGCCCGGCACCGAAACAAACATGAGCTCCGACGCCGAAGGCGAACACGATCCGGACGATTCCGACAATAATAATAATACAGATGACAGCGACGAAATAGAGAGCAACGACCGAGACGATAGACGGCTGGCCGTTATCAGTCGACATGGAGCGCGTAAGCGAACACGACGACATCCTGAAGGCGCTCGACGAGCTTATAGGGGACGATCCGTACGACCCGGAATACCCCGGGATGGACCGGCCGTTGAAGGCAACGGTGGACGTTGCGGCACCCGCC